GATCAAACAAAACTTCATAGAGCAATTGCAAAAGATTTAAATAATCTCACGGCCAGCACTCCAGAAACTAATGTCTGCATGGCCAATAAGATCTTTTTGGATGACAAATTTCCTATCAAAAAGGCTTATACGTCGCTCGTTAGCGAGTGTTACTCGGCGACTCAAGAATTGGTTATTTTTATGTCACATTTTTTTTATCTCAAGCGATATTCTAGCTCCCATTTTCAGACCTAGAGAGGTCTCGAGCTCAAATAAACCACTGGGTGAAGGAAAAGACCGAACAGAAAATAGGTGAACTCTTGCCCAAGGGCAGTATTAAAAAGGAGACAAAGATGGTTATTGCTAATGCTGTCTACTTCAAGGGTAAGAGCTTGTAAACCCCTCACGTCTTTTATTAGGTGCTTGGGATTTACCTTTTGAGAAGTCCAACACCAAAGATGGCAAGTTTACTCTGCCTAGTGGTAAGAAGAAGGATGTAAAGTTGATGTTTAAGAATATCAAAAACGTAATGTACTGTGACTTTGGAGATCTGGACGCTAAGGCCGTTTGTCTTTCTTTCAAGGATTACAGGTTAGTTTCGCTTGAGAAAAAGCAACCATCTATCACCTTTCCCCTGGTTCTTAAGTGTCTTCATGATATGTCCTGCCTATGTCTTCCGTTTAGACTGCGTATGTTCCTTCTGCTACCGAATCAAGAAGATGGACTACCACAGTTGTTGAAAAAGCTCTTCACTGTTGGTCCTACACCGGATGGCTCTGGTGACAAGCGTTACCTGGATATGTTTCTCTCATCCATGTATTATTGCACACAAGAGGTCAATTTATACCTTCCGCGGTTCAAACTTGGCGAGGGTGACCCTTCTATGGACCTTTTTCTAAACATGGTGAAGTTGGGTGTCAGCAAGGTCTTCGATGATACCGTCGCTGACTTCTCGGGTTTGACTGACATTTCGGGTCTCTATGTGTCTTCGATCTTTCATTGTGCTGTACTAGAGGTGGGTAAATATCTTGCGATTAATTGTAGTACTACAATTGGCGGTTGGAGAATTCCCGTTCTAGATAATTTCTAAGATAAGCACAAAATATGTGTCGTGTGTTTGTTTGTTTATTAGGCAGCCTGTCCAACTTTTATTCAATATGTTTTTAAGGCCGAGTAGTAGCCTTCAATTTAAAGACTGTATTTTTCAGGGTTTCTTAAACTTGATTTTAATGGTGCCTGATGTGACATGTCAAGGATCTACATATTTTACGAAATATCAGTAAATAAGGAAATGTTTTGTCACATGTTTGTTTTTAAGAAGAAAGGTTTTTAGCAGCTGGAATGGCGATCCTTTTTTGGGCTCCTGTATTCGCATTGCGTGGAGGTCATCGCAAAATATGAGTTAAATAGTGCTGGACATATTTCAGTAGGCGTAAACTGTGTGGCTAGAAATCGGCGAGAATTGATCAACCTAAGAGTCCAGAAGTTTAAGTCATTAAAAAAACAACTATCAAGGAAAGAAATAGTCATAAGCAACCTGGCGGTTAATTTCAGAAAGGCGTGGAGACTGATAGTTTGAACGCATCTCGACCCGACCAATAAGACCAAGGTTAAAGGGAATGGGAGCTTCTGAATAACAAAAATTTACATCTAATCTGCTTCCATTCGGATTTTTTGAATACTTGGGCCCTGACAATAGGATGCTGTAATAGCTCAGTTGAAAATGTAGACGACATTAGCTTACTATTCTACGCTTTGCCAATTTTCCAATTTCAGGTTAACGAGGAAGGAGCCGAGGCCGCCGCTGGCACCGGAATTGTTGTGTCGTTGGAGTGTGCTTAT